ATGCGCTGATGCCTATCTCCAGCAGTCAACGGGTGAGAGGGGGTTGACCCTGCAAATCCATCGCAAGACTATAACAAATATATAAAAACCTTTTTTTATTTGAAGTTACATATACAGCTTTAAGAAAAAAATATAAGGCCACTGGACTTTCAGAAAAGTTCAAGAATACTGGGCCCAGAATTGTTGGATCCATCCCAGACTCTTTTCTGTGGAGTCTGCAGGTAACAGAAACAATTATCAGTTGACATCTTTGAATTACATCAACAAACTTAAAAAAGACTCACCAAGTGGCTTGTATTCACAGCCAATATCCTTGATAACCAAGCTTTTCCAGTGTGTTTAACAGGTATCTGTAACACAACTCTCCATCGCTGTCAGGTTCATTCCTGCCTGGAACCTGTGCAATCTGAACATGGCCTGAGTAACAAGACATTTGGTTTTTAGATCACTGCCTACCATGCATTTCATGCACTATACATTCTCAGTGAAATCACATTGTGATACAATTATTATTATTATTATTACAATACCTGGTTCCACATCATGTTTAAATCAAATTTTAAAGAACAGGCAACCAAATGAATCGACTGCTCTTTGCATTCAGCATATTTTCTTTCACTTCCTCTGTTATCTTCCTCTCTGGACTTTATAATTCAACATTCCTTATTCATGATCTCCACAATTCTTTCTGGCCACTCCAAACTACTTAACCGGGCCATCCTTGTCATACACTCAGGAAATCCAAGCAGAAGATCTGAGTGTTTTAAAAATAAAAATGGCAAATAAGCTCATTTTAGAGCATAGAAAGTCTAGTCTATTTAATTTTTCTCAGTGAAAAATTCAATGAAAATGATTACTATACTCTTAAACTTAAGTGTTAAGATAAATTGAGACACTGTTTTGCAAATGTACTATTATTATCATCAATTCATAGAGAGTTTATTGTTTGTAGAAGGAAAAGACAGAATCCCACTTTTATTAGAAATAAATTGAATTAGTAACAGAAATGTTGCTGATAATAAGCAAAGTATTCAACTTGCACAACAGAGTGGTGTTCAAATGTCAGTGGAAAATAAAAACTATACTCTTAAACTTACATGGGTGTTAAGAATGTTACCATTTTGGAAACATTAAGAATGTGCATTCTGGGGAAGGCCCTGTTTTACTTAGTGTTGTGTTTGAGTTTTAATTTCTTGTTCTGTTCGTTCTACCAATAGTAGAAAAGCTTAAAATGTGTCAGGTAACGTTTTGGAAAACAAACTGAATATTGGATCATAAAATGTGTATTTAGACATCTGGCTTGTCTTAAATATGTGCAGACTTGTTCTAATTCTGCAAATGTCTTCAAGACAGTCCAAACACGAAACTCGATTTCATTTTATTTTATCCAGCTTTAGGAAGGACTGGAATGCAATTCAATATATCAACATAAATCAATGAAATGTAGTACACATTTTAATACTGAACCAGAATAAGATTGTGATGTTTGGTGGCACAACATACAAAAACAAGTTTATTCTTTCAACTTACCTATTATGGGAAAATATTTGTGCATGTTTTTTGTCAGATTTCCATCCATTACTTGCCAGTGAAATGTCCTGCAACAGTGAATGCAACTGCAGAGTAAACTGATAACTTTTTTGATTTATATTCTTTCCTTAAGCTGAGACACATTTTCAAAAGTACGAACCATCTGTAGCTGGATGTTGGGCTTGCCAACCTTCTCCAGTATTGCTGCAGCTGCAAAACATCCAACACAATCAAAAATGATGCTCCAACTACAGTTCTGCTTCAGGCCGAGTTCTAACAAATATACGTTATAATTAAAAAACATGAACAAATAATAAAAAGTTCCAATTATCTGGTATTCCTGAATTAACAAAAAGCCACGTTAAAGAATAAAACATCTACCTTAATAAACACAATTATTTGGAAAATTTTACAGCATTTTCCATAATGAAATTATGAGTATCACACAACGTCGAAAAGCAAACATTTGGAAACTTCTGTATTTCTTTGAAGAAATGACACCACTTATGAATGCACAAATTTTTTTTTTCATTATTTATATTTTTTTCTTCTGTTTTCACATCAACTACTGTCTCTAAATGTGCCATATACTCACAATTTTACTCAAAGGACCTGTTCAAGATGAGGTAGTAAGTTGTTTTGGAAATGCAGTCTGTTAACCACCTGAATCAGTTACTCTGCTGTTCTTAGAGGCAGCCAGTCTTACCTTGATGAGGGGAGTCCAGAAAGTAGCAAGGGTCTGTAATTCTTGTGTTGATTGGCTCAATCAATCCAGTGATTCCTTCCTGTTGGGAACATTCTGATTATGACTGTTGAACTCCAATAAAAACTATCAAAATAAACTAAATGCCTCTTTAGGCATTTAGTGAAATGCTGACAGCATGTTGAGTTATGGACCGGACGCTTTGGAGGGTCTGGTTCAAAGGTGCATTCCAAATCTTTGCTGGAAATGGTGCGTTTAGGGCTATCATAAATGAATATTTAGCAATCGAGTAATCTATTGATTATTCTTACGATTAATCGAGTAATCTGACACAAAAAGATAAAATAAAATATTGGTAAATCTAACATAACAGAAGTGTTACTATTGCATATCAACATCAGTCCAATTTTTCACATTTAACTTTTCCTAACAATTACTTAAGAAAATTTACCTGTAACAATAACAGCTCACTTTAAAAGTTAGACTGAAAAAATTGTGTACAAAAATATGAAATTATATTCAATTCAATAACAAATAAGCAGGCTCACAAATACTAAAAAATGTCTGTAATGTCCCAGCTTTTAGTTTATATATGCATCTTCAGTCAGTTTTATAGATGAACTCTCACCTTGCCCAAACTTCTATAGCTTTTGTGTTCATGTTGGCGAAGTGGTTTAACACCTTTGTTTGTCACACACAGAAACTTCATGTCAACTTCAAACGGACATTTTTTTGGTCACAAAACATAACCAAACCTTCTGGCCAGGGTTGTATGTGGGAGCAGGTGTTTTAGGGTCAGTGAGGCATTTGTTCAGTTCCGAGGTGTTGTTGAGAGCAGTGATGGTATTCTTCCAGATATTCTTGCAGTGACAGATGTGATGTTGGACCAAGGTGACCGAGATGATACTTTCGTCGGAGGTCAGTGTTAGCTGATAATCATATTCCAAATGGAGAAATAATAGTAGCAGCAGAAATGTGACTTTTATAAGCACTCAACCCAGGTAAGGAACTGACTCCAGTCAGCACGATTTGTGGAAGTGGAATATTGGAGAGTTGATTCTAAATATTGATTCATACGTTTAGTTTGGCCGTTTGATTGTGGATGATATCTGGAAGGTAATGTGACTTGGCATTGAGAGCTAGACAAAAATGTTGCCAAACCTGAGAAATGAATTCCATGCAGTCAAAAAACATGTTTAATGAGTAGCTGGGCAGTTTGGGGGCTTTCTGAGGGGAGTTAAATGACAGGATTTGGAAAGGGTCGATGATGGTGAAGATTGTGATGATGGGGGTAAGCTGGTGAAAAAGTCGACGGAAATGTGGGACCAAGAGCATTGGGTATTGGTAATGGTTGAAGACCAGAGGGAGATTGATGAGATGAGGTATTGGCTGCTTGTTCTGGAGCAGACTGAACAGGCTAGGACATACTCTCTCACATCTTTATGAACAGATGGCCACCAAAACCCACAGTTAATGAAGGAAATGGTGTGACTGATACCTGGGTTTCCGGAGAATTTGGATGAGTGGATCCAGTGGAGGAGTGAATCTACGTACGCACCTCTGTCCGGTGTGTACGTGGGGGGGATGTATCAGGAACGGGTTCCGATTGTTGAGCTTGTTGAATTAAATCCTCAACCTCCCAGAGAACAGCAATAATAAGTACAGCTACAGATAGAATGGTGGCAGAGGACTTCTCTGAATTGTCAGGTGAATGGAGTCGTGACAGGGCATCCGGTTGGATGTTTCTGGATTATGGGCAATAAGAAATGGAAAGGTTGAATCTGTAGAAGAACAAATACCAAAGAGACTAACGAGGGCTTAATCTTTTGGAAGATTGGAGATAGAAGAAGTTCTTGTGATCAGTCCAGACCAGCACGGGATGTTCTGTACCCTCAAATCAATGCCGCCATTCCTCCAAAGCTGGCTTTATGGCTTGACGTTCTTGATCACCTACATCATAGTTGCATTCACTGGGAGACAATCTGCAGGAGAAAAAGGCTCAATGGTGGGTGAAAGTATGGCTCCAACTCTGGTATCAGACACATCAGCTTCTACAATGAATGGCTGGATCTGGTTGGATGAGTACTGGAGCATTGGCGAAGAGTGATTTGAGCTGTTTGAAAGCTGGGCAATTCACGAGTCCAAACAAAAGTAGTCTTGTTTGAGGTTAGTGCAGTTAGAGATAATGCCGTTTGGCTGTAGTTGTGAATTAAGCGGCGGTAGAAGTTAGCAAATCCGAGAAACCTCCATAGCTCCTTTTGTGTCTCAGGAGTAGTGTCTCAATTCAAAACTGCCTTGACTTTCTTCTCCATAGGCATTACCTGTCTGCCGTCGAGAATGAATCCAAGTAATTAAACTGATGTATGATGGAACTCACATTTTATGGATTTGACATACAGCTCATTTTTCATGAGGCTTTGAAGGATGATAAAGACATGTTGTTTGTGCTCAGCAAGGGACTTAGAATAGATTAAAAAAAAAGTCGTCAAGGTAAACAAAAACATTCAGAAAGTCTCTCAATACGTCATTTACGAGGGCTAGAAAAAAATGCTGGAGCATTAGACAACCGGAAAAGCATTACTAAATACTCAAAGTGTCCGATGGGCGTTTTAAATGCAGTCTTCCACTCGTCCCCCTGGCGGATAAAAGATGATATGCATTTCTGAGATCTAGCTCGGTAAAAATAGTGGCTCCATGTACTTGGCTTGTACTGGTTCAAAAACAGGAAAGGAGAGGCAGAGGATTCTTGTCTTTATCCGATTCAAACCTCTGAAGGCGATGCACGGTTTGAGCAATCTGTCCTTCTTACCTACGAAGAAGAATCCAGCACTCAGGGGACAGGAGGAAGGGTGAATTATTCCAGCTGCCAGGGAATCTTTAAGACACTTCTTCATTGTCTTGCGCTCAGGTAGTGAAATGTTGTACAGACGGCTGGTGGGTAATGAAGATCTATGGCAGTCATAGGGGCGATGAGGTGGAAGTAATAGCGCTTTAGTTTTACTGAAAACAGGTGCTAAATCGTGGTACTTGGCTGGGATGGATGATAAATCGGGAGGGTCTACTTCTTGTAGTCCTGTTGGTGATGGACCTGAGGGAACTGCAGAACGGAAACACCAAAGAGACTTTTGACAATTCGCCGACCAGGATTCAATGTGCATATCAGACCAGTTGATGTCTGGGTTTTGTTATTGTAACCATTCAAAACCTAAGATTACGGAGGAGTTAGCTGCTGGAAAAACAAAAGATAAAATGTATTCATTGTGGTTACCAGAAATGATTAAATGCAGCGGCTTAGTTTTGAGGGCGATCTGAGGAAGGGCCTTCCCATCTAAGGCAGAGACATGAAGAGGTACGGTGAGAGGAGCAGTTTCTATGAAATCTGTTGGAAGAAAACTGAATCAATAAGATTTTGTTCACAACCGGAACAAAATTGATGATGACAGACAATGGGAAAGATTGATTATTTATAAACAGAGTTGCAAAAAACAGTAGGCAAGGAGATTTCTCTTTCTGAAGGTGGTCTGCCAGTCTCCTCGCTTCTACTGGCAGACCTGGGGTTTTGACCGAACCAGGCAAAGGGCAATAAAGTAACCATGAGACCTACAGTACAAACAGAGACGGGAGATCAGCCTTTTTTGTCTCTCCTCCGGGGTGAGATGTGTGTGGCCTATTTGCATGAGTTCGGGGTTCATTTGATTCTGCGGAGAGGAAACGGAGTGAGTAGGAGCAGAGACAGAAAATGTTCTGACAGGTGGGATTCTTTGGTTTCCTTCTTTTGTTCTTGAATGGATTCTGTTATTGAGTTGGATGGTCTGATTTATTAGTTCTTCCAATGTCTCGGGTTCATGTAGTGTGGCTAATTCATCCTTAATAGATTCATTTAATGCATGAAAGTAAGCACTCTTTAAGGCTGCAGCGTTCCAGCAAGAAATTGAAACTTCAGGAAGGAATTGACTGAGCTTAATTGATGTGAAGAAAATCTTCCGCCAGGAGGGTTATACAGCGGTCTCCACGGTATGGTGTCTTTGTGGGTTTCTTTGAAGTGATCCAGATTCTAGTGTGAGGTCTTGTCGGAGTTGATCGACGGTGAATAGAGAGGCTTGCGGTGGAGGGCAGACAGGTAAGTTCAGATGTGGAGAAACGAGGAGCAAACCGACTGCCAGCTGGGAATCCAGGAACAGTTTATTGAAGACCTGCAGAGACGAAGAAGAGACTTAGGCAACCAGTGGGTAACAATCCACAGCATCACGAGGGGAGAGAATTTCCAAGGTGTCACAAGGAAACATTAGAGAGAGAGAGAGAGAGAGACAACAAAGGTAAAATACTAGAGGCAATTTCAGAGAAATACAGAGAGCTTTCTCTGAGGGGCACCAATTACCATAACTGGCAAACACTCAGGTGTTAAAGTGCTGGCAGCTGGCTCCTCATATACTGTGGGATGATTGATTGATGAACCAGCGCAGATTTCTCAGTATATCTGACCAGGAGGAATTATTGAAGCTGTGCGTTCACACTACAGCAGAAGTGCTGGTAATTTAAGTGGAGCCGTTTAATTTAATTTATTGTATGTTATTGGGGCGTCAGTCAGACAGTCAGTGGTTTGTTTCATGGAGAAAAAGTTAGATGCATTTATCTGCTTTATGTGTGATGGGATCTGGATTCACAGTTCAACTAGGTGAATATGTAATACATTGTTTTGTGAAATTTTAAGCAGGATTGGGGTGATCAGTGATAAATAACGACAACACGCTGTTCTGCTAGAATAAATGTGTTCTTTTATTCCGCCACAGATTACAGCAAATTCATTCACACAACAAAATATACGTAATGCTTAGATTCTTTCAATCCGCTCTTACCGTGACACAGTGAACTGGAGAGCCGACAGTTCGGGGAAGAGCTACAGCATCACGTAACTGGGCATCCGTACGTAACCCACAGCAGAGACTCTCCTGAACAATGGGACTTTTCTGCCTTTTATACTCATTACCAAAACAACCTCGAATGAAAGAAGGGAATGGCCATTTCCCCTCTTCCAGACGGGTTAGCCAATCAGAATGCTACTTCCCTGCCCACGACTCGACCATGAGCTCATTCCATGATTCAATCAATATACAGCACTCAACTTTCTGTTGTTGTGCTTAAAATGTATAAAATGAGCATGAAACATACAATTTATCAAAGAACATAGAAAATTCTTCATATATATATATATATATATATATATATATATATATATATATATATATATATATATATATATATATATAAATTCCCTTCTCACCCACCGCGGGTGGTTCTTATCCTCTGAACTCGGGTCCTCTACCAGAGGCCTGGGAGCTTGAGGGTTCTGCGCAGTATCTTGGCTGTGCCAAGGACTGCTGCACATTTCTGGACTGAGATGTCTGATGTTGTTCCTGGGATCTGTTGTAGCCATTGATCCAGTTTGGGGGTTACTGCCCCGAGGGCCCCGATGACCACAGGCACCACTGTGGTCTTCACCTTCCAGGCCCTCTCCAGTTCCTTCCTGAGGCCCTGGTATTTCTCCAGTTTCTCGTGCTCCTTTTTCCTGATGTTGCAGTTGCTTGGTATTGCTACATCTACCACAACGGCTTTCCTCTGTTGTTTATTCACTACGACAATGTCTGGTTGGTTCGCCATTACCATTCTGTCTGTCTGGATCTGGAAGTCCCACAGGATCTTAGCTCTGGCGTTCTCCACCACCTTTGGGGGTGTTTCCCACTTTGATCTCGGGGTTTCCAGTCCATATTCTGCACAGATGTTTCTGTACACTATGCCTGCCACTTGGTTATGTCGCTCCATGTACGCTTTCCCTGCCAGTATCTTGCACCCTGCTGTGATGTGCTGGACTGTCTCAGGGGCCTCCTTGCACAACCTACACCTTGGGTCTTGTCTGGTGTGGTAGATCTGGGCCTCTATTGCTCTGGTGTTTAGGGCCTGTTCCTGGGCGGCCAGGATGAGGGCCTCTGTGCTGTCCTTGAGTCCAGCTTTTTCCAGCCATTGGTAGGATTTACTGATATCAGCCACTTGGGTTATTTGCTGGTGGTACATTTCATGTAGGGGCTTGTCCTCCCATGATGGCATCTCTGGCACCTCAACCTCCGTTCCCTGTTGTCTGAGACATTCACTGAGCACATTGTCTGTTGAGGCTTTGTCCCTGATGTATTTATGGATCTTAGTTGTTTTGTCCTGGACAGTGGTTCTCACACTCACTAGTCCTCTGCCTCCGTCCTTGCGGCTCGTGTACGGTCTCAGGTTGCTGGATTTGGGGTGGAACCCTCCATGCATGGTTAGTAGTTTGAGTCTTAACATCTGTGGCCTTTATCTGTCCTAATTATTCCAGCAGGTTATCTGATTACTGGCAAGGCATAGTTGTTTATCGCATGGACATTGTTCTTGCCACTGAGCTTTGGAGGTATTTGGCTGTATATATATATATATATATATATATATATATATATATATATATATATATATATATATACACACATGACATCCCCACCTTCCTACCAAACAAAATAACCTGACCTTGGCCAAGATATCAGCTGCGTAGTTTAGGTTCTGCACAAAGACATCCTCCATTTCTCTTCCAACTGCAGCTCTGTGACACATCCACTGGAATCCTTCCTGCCATTAGGTGAATTCTGTCAAGAGATCAGAGTTTTTCAGTGCAATAAACCAGGAAATATGTAAAATAATGCTCAGCCCCTCAATTAAGACACTGGGTTAAATTTCTTTTTTTCATTTTTTATATGATATGAAAAATAAAGAAAACAGATGGCCATAGAGAGGATTGTATTACATGTGGAAAATCTGATGTTTGACACATTTGCAAAGAGAAATCCTATGACTTCAGACCTGATGCCACACGACCTTTTGTTTACATTTTGTGGAGGAGGCTACTGGTTTTGTAAAATAATTATTGAGAAATAATGCAAAAAGTACAACAAAATCCAGTGTAATGAGAGCTTCCAGAGGGTTACACACATTAAGTATTATTAACTTAAAATAATACATTAAGAGATCATATAAGAAACAAATTTTATTGGTTTTCGTATTAGTGAAATTTCTAATGGTTTTAATATATCGTGTGATCTCATTTTCAAAAAAAATGGAGACTAGTGGTTTTTGATTAGTTTATTTGTAAATATCCCATTTGGCTAGGATAAGATATGAGATTAGTGACATAAAATTGCTTTTTATTCAAGTGGTCAATGAAGCCAAGTAAGGTATTTTCAGAGCAAAGGGAGCGATCTGGTTCAAAGTAGAAATCAAAATGCAAATATTTTTCCAAAATTAAGTAAAGAAGGGGCAAGACCAAAATAAAAAAAATGCTTTCTAGGTTACCTACACGAAAAGAATTTTTTTTAAAGATTTTGGATGAGTAGAATGCGCAAATAATTTGAAATCATACATTGCATTTAATGAGTAAAATTAAAGTCCAAATCCTTTTCCAGTCAAAATGATCAAACTTGTTCCAATGAGATGCCACTTATGGAGTTATACAATATTCTGAAATAATGACCGTTATGCGTTATGTATAATAGTTTTCTTTCTCAATACATAACCGACAACTTTCTGATTTGGTAGCATCAAACGGTAACAGTGTTTGGATTGTCCTTGCTATATGTTTAAGTGAAATAATTACTCCATCCATAATAACATTACCATACCTTTGATGTAACCAATACTACTGGCTGATTACTTAATCAGGATTTACTGAAGTGCAAAAATATTCAATTGTATTTTTTTGTATTTGCCCTTTAAAACAAAACAAAAAAACACTGTTGATAATGTTTAAGTATTCTCAATAATATTAGAATAACATAATTATCTAGTATATTTTCAAACATCCCGTCATTTTTAAATTTTTTAGCACAATTCAGTGGACAGTGGTGTACTGCCCTAGTGCCCCTACCACCAAGCTAATAACACTTTCTGTGTTATTCAGTGGCGGAGCCAGAGGGGTGGCACTTGCCACCCCCAACAGAGCCCTGGCCACCCCTAGTGCCACCCCACTGGAAATGGTAATTTTATACTTATGAGATCGGCAAAGATTTGCCAGGAAAACTGTAATTTCGATTGTCCCTGAAGGGCTCGATGCCCGACGCTGTTCATTGGTTAAACTGACATGTGGGTCCTGCTTGTTCAAAAACACATCAACGGCTTTAGAGTTACACCGTCAGGAGTTTTGCAGGTATTTACAACATTTTACCGCTCAGCAGTAACCGCTGTTACCTTCCTAATGAGAGGCGGCACTTGTCATACATTTCTAAAAACAACAACAAAAAAAAGGTTGTGCACCGCTGCATAGTGCCGTCGTTTATTATTAGCCATGTTAGTGCTAATAGATCGTGTTTTAGACAGATTCTTTTAACATATATTTTAGTGACATGCTGCCCTCTAATGTTTTATATCTCCCAGCTCTTCTTGAAATGTGTGGTAAGAATATGAAAAACCATTAGTTTTATAATGACTGAATGTAAGTAGGCTATGTCATATGAAAGCTTTGAATTATAACCTAACTAGTTATATTAATTTTAATTAATGTATTTTTAATTTAGTATTTTAGCTAGCTACAGAAAACTAAAAACTATAGTTTAAATATAGTTAAAATAGTGTCTCTGCCAAACAGTCATGGAGTCTAAATACCAGGCTGTCTTATTTTGTGTAGAGCCAAAGAAGAGAGAAGGGAAGATCTCCCAGTTCTTCTTAAAGAGGCAAAAACCAGACCAGGACCAGACAGAACCCTGCAGCAGTGACCAGGACCAGACAGAACCTGCAGCAGTGACCAGGACCAGACAGAACCCTGCAGCAGTGACCAGGACCAGACAGAACCCTGCAGCAGTGACCCAGGACCCCAGAACCAGCAGTGACCAGGACCAGACAGACCCT